AAGTAGGGGGATGGTGTGGGTTGGGGGGGAGTTGTTTGTTTTTTTTTTTTTTTGCCAACCACTCAACTCCATTTGGCATAATCACAGCACAAGGTGTACCTGCCCAAAGCTAGCAGCATCCATGCTACAGCAGAAATTGGGCTAGAGATGCCCCTTTCTCACACTTGGCTGGGGCCTCCTTCCTCCCCCCAGGGCTCTCATCCTTTGACCCCTTCTCTGCCCCATCCTGAGACTGAGGCCAATCACAACAGCATCCCTCACTCCAGACACTCCAGCAGACAGCTGGCCTTGTCAGCCCCCCAATGGAGTGACACCCTCCCCCGTCTATCTCTACTTCTATTTACCTTCTCCGGGAGGCTTTCTAGCCACCTGGGACCCACAAGCACCATTTTCCTGACCCCACTTGTCAAATGAGTCTCCCAGGCCAGTGCCTCCCTTTGCCAAATGGCAGCAGAAACAAAACATACCCTTTTAAGGGACTGCCACTGACCCCAACCACACTCAGCAGCTTCTTAAGTTAAGCATGGCCGCTGTTGCCCAGCCTTGTCAATGGCAAATCCCAGATCTGGAAGAAATCTTATCAGGCGATCCCACGAGGCACGTGTGTTAGGTAGACTGAAGTAGGTAACCTCTCCCATTCTTGAAGACATCTGGAAAAGATCTCGGGCTAGTCCTGGCTGTCCATTCCAATTTGAATCCCTTCTTTTCTATCTCAAAGTTGCTGCCAATGTCTCCTTTAAGTCCTCGCTGTTATAACACCAGCCGATTCTCTATTATTTGGTCCTTACTGTAAATGGAGAATCCCTGCCCTTTTAACTTTTGATGTAAGAAAGGAATAGGGAATTGAAAGGAGCACACTTAGCGATACAGAGTTAAGGCACTTAATGAAAAAACACCAGGCTTTTATTTTCTCTGTCCTGCTCAGAAACCATAGCTTATGTTCAGGCCTCAGTGCCAATGGCTCCAGAGACCTCCTGGCTCCCAGCGTGGGCACATCATAGAATCTGAGAAAGATGGTGCTCTCTCTATACTTTGTGTTTTATGTTTCCAAAAGGGGCTCAGGGTAATCGTTTGGTTTTTAAAGTCAATATCGCAAGAGTCATTTGCAAGATGGACTGTCCACGGGGGGAATCAGGGAAAGGCAACATCCTATTGGCCAAAATACTTAGGAGCTGATGTGGTCCAGCTTAGAGGCTGCTGCCTTTGAGAAGCCTTCCTCTCCTCTCTAAGGGTCACGTTCAGATTCAAGCAACAAGTATTAAGTACTTAGTATGTGCCAGCCACTGTGCTTGGTCTCCTCATATACATTTTCTCTCTAAATTCCATCATTACAGCCAGCTTCAAGACAGGCATTCTTATCCCAATTTCACAGACACAGAAACCAAAGGTCGTGGCTAATTCAGGAACTCTTTAGTCTCTTTCTGAGACTTTAGTAGTCAGGAAGTCCCACCAGATGTCTACCTAAACTTCTGAATGCTGCTTTCCTTTCATTGTTTTCTACCCTGCTATGGAAATCAATGATTGGTGAGCTCAAACTGCCTTTTGTGGCCCAAGGTTGGAGATGGCTGCAAACTCCTTTCCTCAAACCACCACCCAACCCACACCTCTGTCCATAATGGGAGGCAAGAAGCTCCCCGGAAAAGGAGAGTGGTGGCAGAAAGACCCGTTGGTAGGATCACAGCAAAGTGACAGTCCCTGTCCAATTCTCTGGCTTCACTCTAGAATGACTCACAATTCCAACTTCAGGCACTTTCTCTTTCTTTGATGTTGCTGTTCTGGCATCTTTAGCAGGGAAGCTGGGAAGCAGGCTAGAATATTAAGGGGACACACGTAGGCTGGTGACTTCATCAAATGCTGCAACTCTGGCATCTAAGTGGGCTGCTGTTTGATAACTAGCACTTTCACCATCCAAATCCTTCCATTATTGGGCTCTTGCTGAGCTCGTGCTGGGCTGAACTTTACATGAAGTTGCCAGGACAGACGTAGTTCTGCCCTGTGGGAGCTGAGGTTTGACCCCTCCTCAAGGTGAGACCACCTCCATCTGTGGAGTCAACTCCCCCAAACGCCACGCAGCTTGAAAGCTTCAAGGAAATTGGGTGATAAAATTCTGTGGGCAAGGCAAAATTAGCAAGGTCTGCCCTAGGCCATTAGAAAAATTCCCAGTCTCCCCTGCAAATCGTCCTACGTTGAATCCTCTCTCTACACCAGGGTCCTGGGACCTAGAACAGTGTGGGGCACAGAGTAGCTGATGAACGTACATTGGATGGATGGCAAGATGAGTGGATGCTTGATGATGGATAAATAAAACTGGATCAAGAACCCATATGTAGAAAGACTGTCTGACCCCCTAACGCTCACCTTCCACAATCGAGAAGAATGACCTTGTCTCACTGTCTAACTCCCATCCGCACTGCGCCCACACCAGCCCCTAGGGAGCATAGTTGGTACCTTCCGCATATCTCTACAGAAAAGCAGTTCAGACACCTCACTCTGCCTGGGGAAGCTTCTCTCTAAACCCGGGGACAGCTGGGATTATGCCTGGCCCAGAGTTCTTTCTAAAGAAGCCTCAGACAATGGGGGCTCAGCTCCTCAGGAGACAAGAAGCTTTGTTACAAAGACAGCTAGTTAGAGAGTGGACAGTATTTTTAAACGCATGAATGTGCTGAATAATTAAGCAAAAACTTTTGTTTTCATGGAAAAATTTCCTCCAAATGCTGCAGCAAGCAGGGTACTGAATTTGCCACAAGCAGTTATTGGCAAGAGCTAGTGAGACTGTGTTTCTTCCAGTCCAGGGAAAGGGAATTTGGATCAGACCTCAAGGCTATGGCCTTCAGTTCAAACACAGCCTGTGCTTTCTGATGCAGAACACTTACTCTGGGCATATTAGAAAAGGTCATGTGAAGGGCATACAGTCTTTCTCTTGGGAACTCCGTACTGAAATCACTCAGGCTCGTCTCCTGTCTAGATTTTCATCGGCTCATAAATTCTGAGGCAACCAGTCCAACTCCCATTTTACAGAAGAAAACCTTGAAGATCAGAGAGGTTGAGAGATTTGCCAAAAGTCCCACTGGAAGGCAGAGCTGATACTCCATCTAAAGTGCCCAATTCTTACACTTTACTGTCCTTTCCGCCAACCCAAATGCAATTCATCCTTTAACACCCTGCTCAAGTCCCCTCTCGCTTGATTTTTTTTTTTTAATTTACTGCCCTACAAAGATCCTTCTCTCCCTCTCCAAACTCTTCCAACAATTACTTCTTAAAATGTTGACCCTCTGCATTATTCATGGTTATCATTGGCGCCTGCTAGGTAATATTGTCCGTCAACCAACACACATCAAAGTCTTTCTTGGAGGGCAGGAACTCTCTCTCTTACCTCTATTGTATCTCCATCATCTGGGACATAAGTGATACTTGGTAAATATTTGTTGAAAATATAGATCAGAAAGATGTCTGGAGAACACTTAGGGATCTAAAAATAGACCTGCCATTTGATCCTTCAATTCCTCTACTAGGTATATATCCAGAAGACCAAAAATCACTTTATAACAAAGATATTTGCACCAGAATATTTATTGCAGCCCAATTCATAATTGCCAAGTCATGGAAGAAGCCCAAGTGCCCATTAACCCACTATGGATGTATATGTACACTATGGAATATAACATGGCCTTAAAAAAGATGGGGACTTTACCTCTTTCACGTTTACATGGATGGAGCTGGAACATATTCTTCTTAGCAAAGTATCTCAAGAATGGAAGAAAAGTATCCAATGTACTCAGCCCAACTATGAAACCAATTTATAGCCCAAGAAGAAGGGGAAAGAGGAGAGGAATGGGAGGGAAGGGCGGAGGATGGGTGGATGGAGGGTAATTGGTGGGACCACACCTATGCTGCATCTTACAAGGGTACATGTGAAACTCACTACATGTAGAATATAAATGTCTTAATACAATAACTAAGAAAATGCGATGAAGGCTATATTAACCAGTTTGATGAAAATATTTCAAATGGTATATAAAACCAGCACATTGTACCCCATGACTGCATTAATGTACACAGCTATGATTTAATACAAAAAAATAAATAAATAAAATGTAGATCAATGAATGGATGAATGCATGGAATGGCTGATAGTGTTTAATAAGTAATTATTGGGTGAGAATAAATAAAAGAATAGATTAAATTATGTTAAGTGTTAGTATCTGTTTAAAGATGTAACAGCAGCTTACAGCTTACATACTTACATAAGAACACACATGCCGTGGTCAAGCAGAACCGTCCTCAGGCCATTTCACTTCCCATTCATTTTGCAGAGGATAAAACTAAGGCACAAAGGGCAGCGCCTGTGGCTCAAAAGAGTAGGGTGCTGGCCCCACATACCAGAGGTGGCAGGTTCAAACCCAGCCCTAGCCAAAAAAAAAAAAAAAACTAGCATGTTTACCCCATGATTGCATTAATGCATACAGCTATGATTTAATAAAATATGATTTAAAAAAAAACTAAGGCACAGAAAAGGAGGAGAGGGATGGGAGGAAAGGGAGGGGGAGGGGAGCACAGGGAAAGGGAGGGAAGGAAGCGGATGGGGTAGAGGAGGAGGAGGAGGAGAAGGAACCAACCACTTTCTCATGGCCAGGAAAAGATACAGGAGGAATTAGAGGGCCCAGCTGGAGACACGCTGTGCTCATTGCTCCTTGATGGATTTTTTATGCCTTTAGACTAAAGGATGGAGAGGAAGTAGGGTCTCTTGGAAAAACTCAGGGCACCTGCCAGTGGGTGTTCTCAAGCCTTGGGAGACTAAAAGAATTCAGAAAAAAAAAAAAAAAAAAACAAAGAAAGAACACAAAGTGTTTCTTCTTAGTATACCCAAAATTATAGGTGTGACCAATAGCTTATTAATCACAAAACTGCCTTGAGCTCTAATGGAGGCATTTCTTTTTTAATTCTCTAAGCACTTCTACCAAATTTTAGCATTAAAAATTACTCGAGTCAAAACTACTTACCAGTATGGAAATTCTTTCCAAGACAACTCCAGACTTGAAGTCATTTTCCTCACCAATACCGCCCGATAGAGTAATTGGCTGCAATTAGCAATGACTTTGTCATTCCTCTCAGAATCTGGCTCCAGCATCCGTGAAACATGCAGATCTTTTTCTTCTCCCCGGCAGGGACTCAGAGCTTCTGCAAATCTTGTCCTCCAGTCCCCTGTGTAATACATCATAGCATCACGGAGATGGAGGGGGCCTAGGATCACTTGGCCCAGAGTTCCTCAAAGGGTGGTAAAAAAAGGTAATTTTGAGTGGTACACAGACGAGCCTTAAGGAAAATTACTAGTTACATTCATTTTAATATACATTAAAGAAAATACCACTTGCACACCAAACCCATGTTTTATGGATTACATATTCAGACTGAGAACAAATTTGAAAAATACGCCAATTGAAAGAAAAATATTTAAAGATTTGAAGAGTGTTCCATGGAACCAAAAATATTTGTACCCCGTAAAACTTCGAAATTAAAAAAATGAAAATAACGTGTGAATAAATTAAGGTTTCAAAAATACCCATAGCAACAAAACCCTCGTTTTATGGGGCCAGAAACGGAAGTTCTGAGAAACAGCGGTGAGACCAGAACCCAGCCCTGGCAATTCCAGATGACTTTGGCTTCCCTGACTATGTAACATCCCCCTTC